GGTATGCTAGGAATCCAATATCCCAGAAGTGATTTGGCCTGAAATGTAAAAGGCACCAAGTGACTGCAGCTTCATGATGGAAATATCCTGTACTCACAGACAGTCTCCTTCATATTTCCAGATTGGGCACTACCAAGTACAGAAGGTCATTGTCCCCACGCATGCAGGATCTTGGGCAAATCTGGCCAGTGTTAAATGCTGCCGAGAAGGGAATCTGTCGACCCATGAAAATTTCCTGTGTTGCTCTGACTCATGCAACATCACTCCCAAGCCCTGGTTTGCATGCTTCCAGAACTGTAAAAAAATAAGTCAATGCCCTTCCTCAGAATTCAGAAATACCTATTAAGCAACATCAGCTTTCTCCACAGAGGACAACCTTCCTCATAGTCAGAAAACCTCATCAGATGACCATCTCTAGTCACTATGGAAAATACCAGCCAACCTTTGCTCTAGTTGTAATAGAATAGTGTTAAAGTGCACATTCTGATTCTTTAAATTAACATAAGATGCATTTTGAAGTGTTTGCTGTCTCTTTTCTTCAAATGAATATATTAATATAAGTTGCCCTTGCACACACATAAAAGAGCTCTAACTGAAAAACCCATGTTATGTGCAATATAAGATCTTGGGGAATTTGAGCCAGATCATTAGTGAGCACTGGAATTCTCAGTTTTAATGGATTCGGTCATTACACCACTTTATGTACATGCTCCCTCCTGCAATATTAAGCCCTAACAGAAAAACTTTCTCTGGCTGAAAGAGAACCAAGATTTATCTTCAGTTCCACTTTAGTGGAAAAATCCCAGGAAAGTTCTGCTTTCATAGATATTCTAGGTGTTGCCCATGCCCCATCAGAAACAACCTGAGACATCCATGCGCTAGAAGTGGTGATAGTGAGCACTGGTGGAAATTTCTGCAGCAGAGTGAGGTCAGCTGAAGAATGTCCCATGTCAACAGTGGCCCAGTTCAGGAGAACCATGGAAAACAACAGTGAAACCAGCAGTTCTTGGAGAAATATTCACCAAATGTTTGATAGCCTGGAAGGGTACAGAAACTTAACGGCTACTTTGTGAATTCAATGTTAAGCCAAGGTCTGCTTGGAAATTTTATTACTACATGATTAGCCATCAACCAGGAACATGGCGCCTCTGAAATACTTAAAGAAGAGGCCATTGAGTGCTTGTTAGGGACAGGGGCTTTGATTTCCTGCTTTATTCTCACAAGCACCTTGCATAGGTTCTGGGTTAGGCATTTCTTATTCTCATTTTATAGATGAGTCTTGGAAAGATTAAATAATCTGCCCAAGAGTAAGAATCAGGGCCAGCATTAAAATCCATGACTTTTTCACAGAAACTACACAAACATTTCAAGGAAGATGCCTATTTGGAAATGAAGCTTCTGGTGATACAAATTTTCCAGGGATGATGTTTAAAATATTTAGCCACCATTATGTTATAGCATAGGCCAATCAGAAGGGAGCCAGCAGTTAACACCATGTACAACCAACCATATTGGCATATCCACTGAATAACCCCTCTTCAATCCATGAATGAAATCTGAAACTCTCTGAGTGATTGTGGAAGGGTTCATGGCTGGTCACTGTCATCAAAATATTTTTGCATTACAAATAACATTTCAATGATAAGAGAAATGTATGTTCATTGTCAAAATTATGAAATATTAAAAAAAGGGAAATAAGAATTAGAGTGTAATTCACATATATGCACACAAGCATAAAAGCTCTTGTTATAAGTAAGAGCTTGCCTTTTTCACTTGCGTCATAAACATCTTCCCTTGTCTTTAAAAGAATCCCTATGACTTTATATCAATGGCTCCTTGATATTTCACTTAGGGGTATAATATAATTGATTTAATCCTCCTCTTCTTTTTCAAAAATTTGAATATGTGTAGGTAAATAATGTTTTGATAAATATCTTTGTGCCTGAAGCTCTATTTGCCTTTTGTCCTTGGAAAAATTCCTAGAACAGTTACTGTTGCTGGATGATCTCAAAACTACCTAATATTGTAAACCTGGATTCTAAGATGGCTACTATTGACTCCACTCACCTCCACCATGAGGAAAAATTTCCTTCCAGTCAGTCAGGGACCACCAAGATTATTATGGCTGTTACCTTTATATGACCTCTCACCTGGGACTCTGCTAACATCACGCCACATCCCTGTTGGCATACCATTGGTTTCCCCCATGGTTGTTGACAAAATTTAGTTTGCTGCAGGTGGTAAAGTTTGAACTTCATACTTTATCAACTTTAGATGATACATAATCTGCCTAAGGTCAGCCAACAAATCAGAATCAGAACAGATAAGAATCATCTTAACTATAAAACTTTTACCCTTGAACTTCATACTTTATCAACTTTAGATGAAACATAATCTGCCTTAGGGCAGCCAACAGATAAGAATCAGAACAGATATGAACATCCCGAAGAGAATGTGCCTCTTCCTCATTGTCAGATGGATAGGCAGCTTGCCCACTTTGTGGCACGACGCACCTCAAATGCTTCCTCTTCCACACCACAAACCTCTCCCCTATCCCCATATGATAATCTGTGGCAGGTTGGGAATCCAATATCACAGAAGTGATTTGGCTTGAAACATAATATACAGGAAGGTCTCCAAAAGTGTGTGATGCAGCTTCTCCTGCCTGGACCACTTTCTTCACCACCCACCTCCAACTTCACCTGCTTAACTCCTCCTCATCTTCCCAGTTTCTGCCTTGATATTATTTTCTCAAGAAATGCCTGGGCAGTCTGACTACAGTACTACACCATCCCAAGATGGGACCCCTGCCCTCCTAATGCCCCCCTTGCCTTCCACAGTGCTGGCCCTGTCATGCATCACGCTGTAGTGTAGGCCTCTCTTCCCTACTGGATTCTAAGCTCCTTGATGGCAGAGACGGTGTCATTCTGACTGTATCCCCTGTGACTTTTGCAGGGCTGGCATGTGGTAAACAATGAGCAGACACTTGCTGAATGAGCAGAACACAACCTGGGTTTAGATTCTGTGATTTGCTGCTCCAATCTGAATGGACCAGAGAAAGTACCCAGGAGCTAAGTAGTTGTGAGTCTAGAAGAAACTGCCGTTTTCTTGAGGAATTTTTTCCTGATTAGGAAATGATAAACCTCAACAGAAATGGCAAGAAAGTCAAAGTCAAATGTGTGAGGCACTCATTAACAGGCAGCCACAGAGAGAGGAGGGAAGTTCACCCCACGTCAAACAGTGGATCTTAATGTTGACTTTAAGCAGGACATCCTCAATCTCAGGGGTTAGCAGTGCAGGAATAGGTGGATAATGCCTGCTCTTAAGGGCCAGCCACAGTATGGAGATTGGATCCCTTCATAGCTTGGGAGTAAAAGGAGCTGGGTTCAGGGAGGTGACGTCCCAGACCTTCTATTCTTGCACTCCAGACACCAAAGGGAAATGTCTTCATAGAGTTATGTGGATTGGTTTCCTGACTTGGCCCATCATATTCCAGAATCTTCAGAGAAGACTAGCTCAAGATATTCATTCCTTGCAAGAGTCACCCATATCATCTCTTACTGTCTGAGCTAATATGTAGGTACAAGTACCTTAGGACTAGCCAGCTTTCAAACTATCAGAGGGCTTTATAGTCCCAAGGAAGGTTACAAAATTGGATACCAGATTACCTGGATTCCAGTGCAAGTTTTATAGTTAAGGTGATTGTGTCTGTTTCTTTCATCTGGAAATGGAGGTGTTTGGGGCCAGGCTGTTTCTGAGATCCTTTTCTAAAGCTTTGCTCATATGTAAAATTATAAAGCCTTCAGCTTAGCATTGTTGAAAATTGTTTAAATATAAGACATGGAGTTGAGGACGGTGGCGCACACCTATAATCCCAGCAGCTCTGGAGGCTGAGGCAGGAGGATCGTGAGTTCAAAGCCAACCTCAGCAAAAGCAAGGCACTAAGCAACTCAAAATAAAGAATAGGGCTGGGGATGTGGCTCAGTGGTCGAGTGTCTCTGAGTTCAATTTCTGGTACCAAAAAAAGATATGCTTTATGGGCTGGGGATGTGGCTCAAGCGGTAGCATACTCGTCTGGCATGCATGCGGCTCGGGTTCGATCCTCAGCACCACATACAAACAAAGATGTTGGGTCCGCTGAAAACTGAAAAATAAATATTGAAATTCTCTCTCTCTTTAAAAAAAAAAAGACATGGTTTTAGTCCTTAGGCAAATTTGTGGAGGAGTAAAGTCTACAACCTGGAGTGCTTCATTCATTCCTGCATAGGCATGAATGCAAAATAAAGGGTTGTAAGCACATCTGGTCAAAGAAAAGGGAATGAATTCTTGGAAGAGGTAAGGTTTCAGCTTGTTCTAACAAAGACTGTTGGCAAGTCCCATAGCCACAGTAAAGCTATTGGAAGGAGATAGGATGAGACAGGATATATTATATTCATGTCTAATGTGCCCTTCACCACCATCCTTGGCTGTAATTTCTTATTCAAAAACTAATTGGACTAGTACTTTTCTCTGTGATGTCACTATTAATAATACTTTTTAAAAATCATTTTAAGCTACCGTACACATGGAATACCTATGTTTGCAAAAGTTGTTGTCATTTGTTCACAAAAATGGAGTCTTAATTGCTGACCTTCACCTGGCAGGAAAGAGGGAGAGTGCATTAAAGCCAGGCAGGTACTGAACCAGAACCGGACCACACAGCCTCTCTGGGACGGGCCCCTCTCTCCACCCTTCTCCCCTTTGACGCTGGCTCCCTGTTGTCCACGTGAGTCATCTGTCTGTGCTGACTTCATCTGGTAGGTTAGCTGCTCAGTGAACCTCTGGGCTTTAATGATTAAGAAATTTTCCAATATTTCACTATGTCCACTTTCCACACAAGGTCGGGCCTCCCCCTTCCATGGTTCCCTTGGCTTTCAGGAGGGAAAAGGAAGAGGAGAGCATTGACATGGAAGAAAGGACGTGAAAAGAAAGAAAAGGGCAGAAAGAGTGTTCTGAATTACCTGGCTTCAAGTAGATGATTGAATGACACCAATGGAAGACTCCCTATGGGTCACTCCTGAGGTCCCCATGTCCAATCTCAGCAGGCTTCACCTCTCCTTAGTGCACCTGTGGCTGGGGGCAATAGCGAGATCAGCCATTAATCACCTAATGGGGATTTCCTTTCTTGACTGCATTTTTCATATGCTCCTGACATGAGTTTGGACCTGGCATTATTAAACAACAAGAAATGATTACAGGTTCTTCCCAGAGAAGTGACTCTATCAATCAGAATCGTGGCAGGAAACAGATGGCACATCCAAGTGGGTATTCAAAGAAGGTTCTTTAAAAGGATGACACCCAGTGGTATGCGCAAAGTAGAGGGACACCAGCAAGGGAGGCTCTAGGGGAGCTGGCACTGGGGAGACCCTACTGTCCCAGAACTGAAGTGGTCATGGCAACCAGGATGGAGATCAGCACTAGAAGAGAAATGGCTGCTGGCCAGAGGTTGTAGCCTTCAGTGGGAGAATGTACCGTGGCAGAAACAGAGGGAGCTGGTGGAACACCCCGACCTCTCCTTCCTCACTCTCCTGTGGAAGCCTCCATGGGCAGAACCCAACCAGAAGTGAGAGGGCACAAGTATTGCAGGTGCTGTCCATGTCCCTCTCAGTCAGGTTCTAGTGTCAGGGCAGGACAGGGAAGTGCTGACCTGAGGTGCTGGATCTGGAGGGGCACGCAGAGAAGACCTGGTCTTCATTATGCATATTATGTGTTATCTAGAGAACCGATATCTTCCCCCCCAAAATAGGAGAGAGAGAGAGAGAGAGAGGAGTATGTGGTAGATTTTTAATCTCATTTAATGCCCACAACAACCTTGCAGGGTTTTCATGTTGTTCAAATGAGACATCTTAGGCTTTTAGAGGTCAAATCACTGACTCCCCTAGAAGAGGAGGTACAGTAAGGACATCAATTCAGGATTTTGACACATACTGATATCACTCCTTGCCCATCTCTCTTCATACCTGCCCACCATCCCCTTTCTCCTCATTCACCCAGGCTTCACCTAGCCTTCATGTCTAGTTCAACTCTATCCAAATGAAGCAACTCCATTGACCACACCCCTTATGGCGGCCTAGGGCCCCACAGTGGTGTCTGACGCAACTATCCATTTAGCAACTATCCATTTATTGACTTTGTATTGTTCTGTGGGTGTTGGTTCCTGAACTTCAGAGTCTGTTTTCCTAAGACAAGATCAATAGAAGAGTCCTTTGAATGGCAACACCCGACAGCACTTAACATGTTCTGTCATTCAGTAGATGGTCAATAAGTACTTCCCAGATTTAAATAAACAGTGAGGACGGGGAGGGGCAGGCACAAAAATATACTGGGCCAGGCGAGGAGGTGTGTGTGTGATGTGAGTTGCACGTGCACTGGTGTCAGCCAGGGTCCAACACAGGAACCAGAACCACTTTAGCTGAAAGGGGATGATTATAGAGAATCAGGCACTCCTGCAATCACTGGATGGGCACACATACGGGGGTATCTCTAGACTGTTGGTTTCAACACCAAATTACTCTAGCTTGACCTGTAGGTTGGAAAGCTGTTATTACTAATGGTGCACACAACTCCCTCATGCCTCCAAAGTGAGGACCAGACAGACTCTGGGATGCAGAGTTGAGCCACGGCAGAGATTTTCCTCTCACTCACCTTACTTCTCTCTGCTGCAATGCAGGAAGATGGCTTCTGTCTGCTTCTGTGCTCTGCATGCAAATTTAGCTCATCCACACAATCTATCTAAAAATGCATCTAGAACACTGGCTCTAAGGAAGTATAGGAAGGCAGTTTGGGGCTTCTCCTCCTTGCACAATTAAGGGGATTCCAGAAAGGGGTGGGAATGGACTCTGAGTGCCAAAGGAGCTTGGGCAGCATGTGAGTGAGTGTGGACACAGAGCATCTGGGGGCTGCCACATTCTGAATCAGGTCCATGCAGCCATGGCGAGGTATTTAGGAGCATCAGTAGGCTCAGTGAGGTAGAGGCAAATTCTTTTGAGGTATTTTAGATGGATCATTTTTATTCCAATTGGTTAAATTTTCTGGTGATCTTTGAAATCAATCTTGAAGGAAGCAGATGTCACAGAAAGACAATGCATAACATGAAATGAATGTGTAGAAAGGAAGCCAATCAGTCTCCTAAATGGATATGGTGCCCTCATGAGTGTGGTGGGCAGGTGCTGGGGGACCTGGTGTTTTTAGGTACTGAGTCTTTGGAGCAGCAATTGACACCCCTCTCAAGTCTGCTAAACACACACACACACACACACACACACACACACCTTTAGCCTTTCTTGATCAACAGGGCCCCCTAGTGGCACAGCGCAAACACTCCAGTTTTCTATAGTGTGACGACAAAAGAGCTCAGTGTGAGCTCAACTAAGTGACAAGGAAAACATAAATAACTAAACTGAGGTAAGTTGAAACTGGACCTCATAAGGCTTAGCTCCCAGTAACTCAGGCAGCCTCTTCTCCTCATCTTATGTGTCAGGTTCTCTGGCTAGCCATGACTTAGGATAGTGGTTTTTCCCGGGGCACATTTGGCAATGTCTGGAGACATCTTTGGCTGTGTGACTAGGAAGGGGATACTAATAACATATAGCAGGTAGAGCCCAGGGAAGCTGGGAACCATCCTATAATGCACGGTACAAGAAAGAACTATCCAGTTGAAATGCCAGTAGGGCCACAGCTGAGAAATTCTACATTAGAGGAGGACAATTCTTCCCTTGGGGATGCTTCTTATGCTGTCAAGGTCTCCAGATCATCAGGACTCAAGCTATCTGCATTGATCATTCTCCTCAAAATTGAGACACAAAGAGGGAAAAAGGAAAGGACAAAAATCCTACAAATGGCACACTCCTTAGGATGGCAATTATAAGACAAAAAAGAAAATAAATAAATATTGGTGAGGATGTAAAGAAATTGGAACTTGTGCTCCGCTGGTGGGAGTGGACATTGGTGCCACCTGTATGGAAAACAGGGTCTGAGCTCCTCAGAGAGTTAAGCATGGAATTACCATAAGATCCAGCAATCCATTTATACCCACAACACATAAAAGCAAGCACTCAAACAGATAGGTATGCATTCACGTTCATAGCAGCATTATTCTCAGTGGCCAAAAGATGGAAGCAAACCAAATGTCCCTGAATAGAAGAATGGATAAACAAAATATGGCCCATACATGCAATAGGATTCTATTCAGCTTTAGTAAGTAATTGTTGTGGTTTAGATGTGGTGTCCCCCAGAAAGCTCACTGTGAGAAAATACGAGGTTTGGAGGAGAAAGGATTGGGTTATAGCCTTAACTAGTGAATTAATCCCTGATGGGATTAACTGAGTGGTAGCTGGAGGCAAGTGAGGTGTGGCTGGAGGAAGTGGTTCATTGGGGGTGTGGCTTTGGGGTGTATATTTTGTATCTGGAGAGTGAAATCTGTCTCTGTTTCCTGATCATCATGTGAGCCCCTTCCCTCTGCCTCACCTCGAGCCCCAAAGAATGGAGCCAGCATTCTTGGACTAAGACCTCTGAAACCATGATCCCTCAAATAAAATTTTTCTCCCCTAAAATTGTTCTGGTCAGATCTTTTAGTCATAGCAGCAAAATAGCTGACTGAAACAGTAATGAAATTCTAATACATGCTACAACATGGATGATATTTGAAATTGTTATGCTAAGTAAAATAAGCCAATCACAAAACTACTAGTATTGCATGACTCTGCTTACCTGTGGCCCCTAGAATAGGCAAAGTCGCAGACGCAGAGAGCAGAATGGTGGTCGCCAGGGGCTGGAACCAGAAACACCCCCCAGCCCATATAGGAACTAGTATTTAATGGTATAGATCTTAAATTTTGAAAGTTAAAGTTGCTCTGGAAATGGACAGTGGTGATGGCTACACATTGGTAAATATTATGTGATGTAGAATTTTACCACCACCACCACAACAAAAAATCCCCACAAACCTGCAGTTCTTGGCTCTTTAAGGCCAAACAGCAGCTAAGTTCAGAAGGGGCTCCAGCTTGACAAGATCCTTTGAAAGTGACCTACAGAGGTCCCAAAAGTGTCTTCGCCAGGACTTTTGTCAGGCCATGACACATTAAGTGAGAATTCAACTCCCATGGCCTTGATTACTCCAGGCTTGGTTTGGCTTTAATGTGACCAAGGACAGCTGGCAGCACACGTGGTCACCTCTTCGGAGCACCAAAAAGGGCATCACTGAAGAGTCTGAAGCGTCTGTGCAGGAGGGAGCTCTCTGAAGCCTGGGGCTTCTGTCACAGAGCTGAGAGGACTGTCTTTCGGTGGTAAAGAAGATAAGAGAAAGGGGCTGGACTTCACAGGAGGAGCAAGGAGGTTGCCACGTCCTTCCGGCTGTCCCTGATTCTCTGCCTCACCCAGCACCAGCCAGCTCTGCGCACATTAAGATAATGCTATTTTATTTAGCTCAGTGCATTGTTCTGCAGCATACCAGCATTCTTTGTGTGCATGCACATGTGCGTGAACCCTTGCACATGCAAAGGAATCTAGTTAACATTTTCCTCTAAGCTCATGATCTCAGTCTTGAGAACATAGGACGTTGATTCAGTTCCAGTTAGGATCACTGCGCACCACACAGCAAGCACTCTTCAGGGCCCAGAGAGCACCCTCCCCTCCACTAGCCAGTTGGCACAGGAATTCAGTAAAGGGAGGGAGAAGACTCCAGAAAAACATCCACTCCAGCCATGCCTGAGCCTCCCCCTGCCCCAGAAATAGTAAAGCAGAGAGCAGTACAAAGGGACCTGCATAAATGGTACAGGGTTCACATCATCTTTTACCTAGAGATGGCTGCAGAGCCCAGAAACACCCCATAGCTGTATTAGTCAAATCCCATGGACCAGACTCCCAAGAAGGGTGATTTCATGATTCTGTCTGAAGTTACAGGTGGTATCCACTGTGTACACCCTAAGCTTTTCCCGGTGACCACTGGGTTTCCATGGAGCTGTGTTGGTGACCACCCTATAGCCAGTAAAGACAGGAATGTCTGTGTGTGTTTATTCAGTTTTCAGGACTGGAGTTATATATATGACCAGCCCACACCTGC